TATTATTATTATTATTATTATTATTCCCTCCGTCCCACTTACTGTGTCCATCTTTCATTTCGGTATGTCCCATTTATTCTGTCATTTTTCTTTTTTAAAACATATTATACACTTTAATCTTATTTTAAAATTTTTAATTTAATTTTTTTAATTTAAATTATACTAATTAGTTATTTTCATTTTAATGTAAAATTATTTTTATTAAATAATAATTATTTTCACTAATATATTCATAATTATTTACTAAGTATACTCCACTTAAATTCTCGTGTCTACAGTAAAGGGAACACGATACCTGAGACGGAGGGAGTATTATTATTATTATTATTATTTTATTTATTGTTTTCTCCGTACCAAATATGGTGTTACATTCATTGTAAATACAAGAATTAAGAAGACGTGTGATTAGTAAATAATTAAAATATATTAGTAAAACTAATAAAATTTAATAAAAATAACTATGACTTAAAATTAAAATAACTAATTAATATAATTAAAATTTAGAAAAAAAAAATTGAAAATTTAAAATATTTTTAAATTTTTAATCTTTTTCTAAAAAATAAAATAAAATAAAATATGGAATAAACAAAAACAAAAACAGTAACATGATACCTGAGACAAAGAAAATATTATCATTATTATCTTCAAAATAAAATAAATTTTATATTTAAATGAAAAGTTACATTGTTTCAATAAAAAAAATACTGTTTTCATTCCATATTTTTCGTCCATTATTTTTTATCGATCCGTCTCATCTTATTTGTCTTTTTTTTTAGAAAATATAATTTATACACTTTAATTATATTTTAAATTTTATAATTTATAATTTTTTAACTTTAATTATATTATTTAATTATATTAATTTTAATTTATAATTATTTTTATTATATGATAATTAATTTTATTATTACAATTTTTAATTATTTACTAAGAAAATAATTAAAATAACAAGAAGCACCTTGAGATTAGAGGTTCTATTATTGGGCATGAACTATGAGGACCACCTACTCAAAGTAGGGATTCTGTTGGCCCGGGGCCTGGACCAGTCATGGAAACGTTATTGATTATGAATTTATTATTAATTATTCAATAAGTCAAATTTATATATTTATATTATAAATAAGTATTCTGTCCTAAGGTCTCCATTATGTTTGTTTCATTTATTTTATTATTTTTTAAAAAAATATTATATTTTAATTTTATTTTAAATTTTTTATTTTAATTAAACTAATTAATTATTTTAATGTTAATTTATAATTATTTTTACTAATAAATTTTTTATTATTTACTAATTATATTCCAATTAATTTTCCTATATATTGTAGAGAGAACAATGTAGCGGGGAGAGTAATTAAGTTTATTTATTTACTTTAATATTATTCATATTTTAATATATAATAATAATAATATTGTCACCATTATTAAATTAAATATTACTATCTTCGTCCCACATACCATGTTCATATTGTTGTTTCTGTCCGTCCCACATGCCATGTCACTTTTCTTTTTGGAAAATGAATACACACTTTAATCTGATTTTAAACTTTTTAATTTTTTTTTTAAAATTTTAATTAAACTAATTAGTTATCTTAATCTTAATTTATAATTATTCATATTATCGAATAATTATTTTCACTAATACATTATTAATTATCTACTAATTACACCCCTTTTAAAATACCGTGTCTACAATGTAGTAGACGCGATATGTAGGACGGAGGGAGTATATACTATCAATCAAAATAATTCATTAATGAAAATTGTGAAATACTCTTAGGGGGCATTTGGTACTGATAATGGAATTGCACACAAATGAGAGTAGAGAATACAATCAGAGAGAAATAGAATTGAGTAGAGAATGAGAATTAATTCTCTTGTTTGATAAAACAAAGAATTCATTTGAGAAATCTAAAACAAAAATGCAGATATATGAATGATTAAATAAAAAAAATGATTAATCCGATAAAAAGAGAGTTTTATCAAATGAAAATTCATGAAAAATCTTTTTTGTAATTTTTTTTATGTTTTTTAAGATATATTTTAGTACAATTTCTTAAAATATCGTAAAAATTAAATATTTTAAAAATAAATTAAGTTTTTTTTTGTAAAATTAAAATAATATAATTTTAAAAAATTATAAAAATTAAATAGTATAAACAAATTTTAAAAATTAAAAAAATATATATTTTGCAAGATCATTTCTCTCCATTTCTCTGCGTATGGGAGAGAAATGAAAACAAAGAAATAGAAATGATTTTTTTTCTCAAATTCCATTTCTCTGACTCAAACAAAAAAAAAATGATACAATTTCCAGTTCTCTGGTCTTATTTTTCTATACCAAATACAACCTTATATTCCTTTTAATTTTACAATTAAAGTTTTCTTTTCTCAATCTTTTTGCCAGAATAAATTACAGGATAGAGAGTGTACTGTTTTTTAGGAAAATAGTTTTACTGTAGCAAATTATCAGCGTAAAATGTTCCAAATAATAAAATTGGATACTAAATTTAAATTAAAATAATAAATAAAAGGGGCCTGTTTTTGGTGTACAATTTAAAACCTCCTCCTCATCTTATAATGCTATTTTATTTTTTTTTTTTACGATTATTAAGAAAATTTATATTAAAAAATTAATTGATTAGTTTAGTTGATGTATAAATAGTTTTTATTTATTTAATATTTTACGAATGAAATATATATTAATTAATTTTTACGCAAATAATTTTTACATAATTTAACTTACAAATTATTGATATAATATATGTAACAATACTAAAGCTGCTATATTTTTGTTTATTTATTATTTTATGGATGAAATACACATTAATTTATTTTTTTGATACAAATATTTTTTGTATATTTATGAATTATTGGTGTAATTATATGTAATAATACTAAAATCAGCTATATTTTTATTTATTTATTATTTTATGGATGAAATAAATATTAATTAATTTTGATACAAATAATATTTATACATTTACAAAATATTGGTGTAATTATATGTAACAATACTAAAACCTTTTTTTTTTTAATTTAAATGATTTATAGTAACTTATTATGTAATTTTTTAAAATATAAACTAATTTTTTTTGTATTTGTCGAATTTTTCTCCAAAAATTTTTGCTGTTACCAATTTTTTTAAAAACAAATATCAAATCAATTTTTTTATTTTTATATTATATTATAAATCATTTTTAAATTAAAAATATCACATAAATATTTTTTAAAAATCAAATCAAACAATTATTTAATTTATTTTTTTTTAAAAAAAAAATTGTCATTCAAAATTCAAACACAAAATCCTCCAACTAACTGCATTCAAAATTTTCTTGTTCTTGACCTAAGTCTAATTCTTCGTATTATGCTTGAGTCTGATTTTCAGATCATACTTATTTTTATCAATTATAATTGGATGTAATTTAAAAATAGAATTATTAAAATAATTATGAGTAAAAATATGTTTGTAAGTTTTTGTTAGTTTTCTGCTATTCAAAAAATTATTTTCACAAAAAAAATCAAAGTAAATATTTATTTTTTTATACTTTTATTATACTAAAGTTTTATTTTCCATTCAAATTATTATTTCAATATATATTTATATCATATAAAATAATTATTTCAATTAAATTTCTCTTAATCCAAAACCCAAATCTATACCCACTAGAACCAACAAATAATTTTTGACATAGTTTACGATAATATTATAAAAAAATATATAATTTAAACATATATTTATACAAACTATATATTGTCTATCTATTAAAAAAATCAATAATTAATATAGAATATTATTTATTTTACTACCGACACATTTTCTTATAAGTAACATAAGAAAACACTTCGAAAATAAAATAAACAACAAACACACTCTAAATAGATTAATTTGAATTATTTAATATTTAATTTTTTTTTATAATTTTGTTTTTATAAAAAGTGACATAGTTGACGGAAAAAAGAAAAAAAAACACTAATATAAATTGATAGAGCGAATAGAGTAATTATTTTTTTTTAAATTATTATTATTATTATTATTATTATTATTGTAATTTATAGCAAATTAAAACATAAATTGCTAATTTATATCTTTAATAATAATAACAACAAATAAATATAATTATGTTTTAATTTGTAATTTATATACTATATAAGTTTCTTTTCTCAATATAATTTTTTCATGACACAATGCTCAATGTATATAATTTTTCTTTTATTATTTCAAATAAAGTTAATATTAAATACAAATTATACAATTATTCATATTTTACATCAATAAATATTTTAAACTAAAACATTAAACAGGTAAATTTTATATTTAAACTAAACTTAAAAAATATAATTGCGATATCAAAATTTAAAAATATAAATTTTAATTGTACTAGATAATTTAATATGTTCAAATATATTTATAAAATTTTAAAATAAATCTTAGATTATAATTTATTTGAAGTTAAATTATATATTATTTATAGCTCTAACTAAATTAAAATTAAAATTAAAAATATAATTAATATATACTTCCTCCGTCTCAAACACCCCGCAACATTTTCTTTTCTTTTGTTGTTCCAAACTTATTGCAATATTTCTAAATTTAGAAAAAATTAATATTATTTATATACATATATTAATATACACTTCACTTTGTCACATCACATCACTCAAACAAAAAAATAAATAATCATTTATATATCCAATCATATCACTTAATATCCAAATTATCTCAAATTACCATTCTTAATACTCTCCACCTAAATTCTAGTATCAAACAGAAATGTTGCATAGTGTTTAAAACGGAAAAAATATAATTTAATAAATATATTCTCAATTTGACCAAATAATTTAACATTTAAAATATAATTTATAAAATATTAAAAAAATTAAAAAAAAAAGTTAGTAGAAAGATACATTTATATTAATAATATATATATATATTTTAATTATAACAATTCGATTTTATTATATCCAATTTTTTCCCAAAAATTATTTATTTTGGGATAAAAATGGTAGTTGGTCAGAAAGCTGCCAACGCATTTGGCCCAAATCGAAACGGTTATAATCAAGATAGTGGAGTTACGTGGCTGATGATGAAGGGAGGTAGACGCTGAAAAAATGGGCATAAAAAAGGGATTGTGTCAACTCTCACCGTAATTTTAGAATAAGTATAATTACTAAATAAATGAAAATATATTAATAAAAATAATTATCATATAATATAAATTATTATAAATTAAAATTAATATAACTAATTAATTTAATTTAAATTAAAAAAAATTTAAATTAGAAAATTTAAAATAAAATTAAGATGGATAATCATTTTTTTTAAAAAAAAATGACATATGAGATGTGGAACGGACAAAAATGACAACATTGATAAGTGGGACCGAAGGAGTATTATTATTATTATTTTGTTTTGATACTATTATTATTATTATTATTATTATTATTATTATTATTATTATTAGTGGGAAACTCGTGCGATGCACGATTTTCTATATTTTATTTTTATCTATCAATTTTTTTAATATATTTTATTTTCGTTAAATTTATTCTATATAATTTTTATAAAAAAAAGAAAGAAATTCTTCTTATTTAACTATTAATTTTTATTTACTACAATTGTTACTATTAATATGTATATATATATATATATCATGCTTTCTCCGTCCACTAATATATTTATATTTGTCTTTTACGTCATTATATTTAACATTAAACAAATATATACATAAATCAATATATATCATAAATAAAATACGAAAATAATAATTAATGGAACATAAAAAATTATTATATAATCAACATAAAATTCTAATTTAAAACTTATAAAACTTATGTCATTTTATCAAAAAAATCAAAATTAATCTTATTTAAAACTAATTTCAATCATAATTCATAATTAAAGAAAAAAATATCTAAAAACTAAAATAATAAATACTTGTTATGAGATTCAAAATATGCATTTATATTTAACAATTTATTCATATTTGAAATAATTGTTGTTTTTTAATTGTAATAATTTAAAATTTAATCGAATAAATTTGTACGAATTACTCAAAAGTCATATAATATTTATTTGAATATATAAATATATAAAATAGTATCTATATTTTTTAAACTAAAATAAATAATTTAATAAAAAATTAAAGAAATATTCTATACTTTATACAATATTATAAAATTTATATCAAAATTTTAATTTTAAAAAAAAATATATTATAAATTTGGTTATTTATAGTTTTATTAATTATAAATATTAATAAAAGTTTATTATTAAAAAACATTGTATGCTATATAGATAAATAAAATATTGTAATAAATATGTATAAAATTCATTTAAACCCCATAAATCTATTATAATAAATATAAAATCAAACAAATATAAATCATAAATAAAGTAGAAAAATAATAATTAGGGGAACAAAAAAATTATTATATATAAATATTATTCATATCGGTGATATATATATTGGGATAACTGTTATTGTAAATTAAAAATTATGATACGTCAATTGAATAATTAGATACTATTTCATAGATAAAGTTTGTGATATGTGAAAATAAAATTTGAATATGACATTTTTGTAGACATTTATAGTATTGAGTTGTGTTAATTACGAATGTAATTATTATTAATTTTTTAAATAAGAATTAAAAATTATTAAATTAATTTTAAAATTGGTAAATAATTTTTAAAAATTAAAAGATTATTAAGTACAAACATAATTATCACTAATTACATATTTAAATTAGAATTAAGAAAATATTAAATTAATATATAGATAATAATATTTACATTATTTTATTTAATTTTTGTAATTTCTCTTTACTAATTAAATTTCTATATATAATTTCAATTATTTTTTTTTCAATTTTTAAATAGAATTTGTAATTTTAACGAAAAATAAAAAATAAAAAATAAAAACTGGGCACATCATATATAAAAGTGGAATATTAAAATATAAAATTATTAATTACTATTACAAAAGTAATACACACAATCAAACACCAACAAATACACACAAATATAAGATACGAAATATACTATAAACATTCAATTAATAAAATATATTTTTTCACACTATAGAAAATAATAATAATAATAATAATAATAATAATAATAATAATAATAATAATAATAATATCGTTCAAAATACATTTGTCTTTTGGATAAGCATATTACCAGAGGAAAATTCAAATTTTTATAAGATTTATATAAGTTATATTTCAAAATAATCAAAAAATAATCATCGAAATATTCGATAATTTACGTTGATTCGAGGATAAAATTTCGACCTATAAAATGAATACATTCTAACAATACCTATAGTTTATAAGTTAACGATAAAAAGATGTTCATCTTTATATTAGGTGACACTCTAATATTTTGAAACTCCGACGAACTAAACTGAGAAAAAAAGAGTTGTGTCGGGATGCTTGAACACGGAGGAGAGTCGTGTTATAAATATATAGAATGAATGATTGAGAAAAAAGATTTATATTAGTTGATGAGAAAAACATGAGATGTGAAGATGATTTTTTATAGGCTCACCAACATACATAAATTAAACGTCGTAACCGCCGGCAGTTATCTTCGATAATTGTTTACAATTAATATCAATCATAAATTTCCGAAATAATATATGAAATTTATGACAAAATTCAAAATCTATGCATATTTTTATAATATAACCATAATTATTCTATCATTTTTTACAAAAATATCTCATTGTGTTGATTATTGCTTTATTAATAATGATTTTTTAATTATGAAAGATTAGTATATGTTTTTTTATTAAAAAATAAGAAAAAATATTTTAATATGAATTCTATTGACTTAATGTAAATAAATAAATAAATAAATAATACTTCCTCCATCCATAAGAATGATCATTTTTTATTTTTATCAGTCCCAAAATAAGGTACCACTTCATAATATATTTTTTACTTTTTTAAACTAATATAATACAATATTAAAAAATTTACGTACAAAAGCAAATAGTGATCTTGTTGCGGGACGGACGGAGGTAATATAAAAATTAGCAAATTAATTGTAATATAATTATACTTGCACAATTTATTAATTGGGGAAATTGCAAAAAATAAATGTAAATGTTGATATTATAGTTTTTTATACTACATTTTGTAGAATATATTAATGTATTGTACAATAATAAATTTTATTTATAACTAATTTAACATTATATAATTAATACAAAATAATTAATTAAAATGTATTGATGATGATTAATTAGTATAAATAATTATAACTACCATTAATTATGAATTTTAAATGTAAATAAAAAAATATTAAATTAATTTAAAACTATTAAAAAATAAAAAAATTAAAATTTTTTTTTGATTGTATGGAACCCACTCCGATCTCAAATATATAATATATAGAATAGATTACATAATGAATATATTAAATTATCTATATAATATATAGATAATAAATAACAATGATAATAATAAATTTTGAATTTTAATAAATATATGTATTAGCTTTAATTTTATTAATTATATCAATAATACATATATAATATTAATGGTAACTTATTAATTATATTAATTCATATAATTATTTTTATTAAAAAATCAGAAAAACAAAAAAAAAAAGTTTTGATCGCGTGAGATCCACACCGACTTCAAATATATAATATATAGATTATTATTATTATTATTATTATTATTATTATTATTATTATTTATGCTTCTTCCTTTTATTTTGACTGTTTTACTTTATGAGATTATCACGTCTCAAGCATGAGCGCGCGAGAGATCAGAGAGATTGGGGAAGAAGAAGACATGTAATTCGGTTAGATTTTTCGTTATCCCCAAAATTGGTTCATGATAGTTAAAAATCGCATGTGTTTTATATTCATATCATATGCGATATTTGAATGATTTTGATTGGATTCTACCTAATTTATATGCGAATTGTTTATTTGTTGTGTGCAGAGGGCAAATATTAAATTTGGCATAACTGGCAAAAAAAAGGAAATAAAATTAATTAAAGGCCCAAAAGTCCATCTACAAAATAATTAGGGCAAAAATCAAATAAAAAGAAAAACACACGCCTATTGCCAAGGGGATAACAACTAGGGCAGAAACGCACAGTAGTAGGAGATTGATAGATTCATAGATCGCGCATGAGCAAATCGACAGAGAAGATTTTCCCCTCCCACTATGACTTTATCTTTCTCTTTTGTTCTTTGTTATTTAATTATGGAGTAGATACTTTTCTGGTTTGAAGGGTGATAATGTTTTGGTTCTTTTGTTTTGGAGATTTTTGATTTTCTTTATAAAAGTTCTTTTGATTATCAATATTTGTCTAATTCTGATAATAGCGTTTGTGATTGTTAGATTGATTGAATATTTTGGTACCAATATTTAAATTAGTCTGATAATCTAAAGTCAATTCAGGTAGGATATCCGTAATTGTATTCGCACTTGAATAGGTGATAACCGGGTTGAATAGTTCCTTCCCGGGGGTTAGACAATCAAATCTAATTGCTCCTCCTAGGTAGTAATTCTTTTGAATTGGATTTTTCTAAATTACAATGCGGTTAGGCAATATTCTTATGGGCGCACCTAGGTTTATTTGCTTAATTAGGGGTAGTTAACGATCGTACCTTAATTACCTACACTGTAAGGAAAAATTGGTTGTCAGAGCTTGTTGATAACTATAACCAATTTATTGATACTTTAATAAGAATTAATTTTATTGAATTAATGATAAAACGCAAGTGCCATAACTGCATCATCCCTTGAGCTAGACATCCCCTTAATAGTCAGTTCCCCCTTAATTTAATTGCCTTATTATTTTATTTTCATTAGATAATAAAAGAAAATTCCCCCTTTATTTACTGCACTAGAACACGAAAGAGTGAATCACACAGTCCCTGTGGAGACGATCCATTTCCCTATATTACATTAAATTGTGATCACGGATTAGGTGAAATATTTAATTGACCGCGCGACAGGTCAATTTTTGGCGCCGTTGCCGGGGATTGGCGCTTTGTTTTAGTCTTTTGTGTTATTTAAATTTATCCTCTTGTTTATGCCACGTTCTTCTTGTACAGGTGAACTGATATTTAGTCTTGAGATTGAGAAAGTTGAGCGAAAGCTACGAAAGGAAGCCAAGCAATGAAAAGCTGCTCAGGTTGCGAAGCTGGCAGAATCTTTAAACCACCTCAAAATCTCTAGCTCTAGCGACTTTGAAAGTGATCAAGACACTGTCATGACTGAGGATATCTGCACTCTAAGGTAGTTGGCTGCTCATAACTTGGCGTAGCAGCCCTTATGCATTAACTTTCCAACTCTGAATAACACTATTGCTTTTGAACTGAAATCTGGCTTAATCCATTTACTGCCTTCTTTTCATGGACTTGCAGGTGAAGAACCTCACAAACACTTGCAAGAGTTCGACGTGGTGTGCTCCAACATGAAACCACCAGGTGTTACTGACGAACAGATCAAACTCAGAGCCTTCCCATTCTCACTTAAAGATGCTGCAAATGATTGGCTCTACTATCTCCCACCTGGAAGCATTGACACGTGGAACGACATGAAAAATAAATTTTTGGAGAAGTACTTTCCAGCTTCCAGAGCTGCGATCCTGAGGAAGGAAATATGTGGCATCAAGCAACAATCAGGTGAAACACTCCATGAATATTGGGAGCGATTCAATAAGCTTATCATTAAATGTCCACAACATCAAATTCCCCCTCAATTATTGATTCAATACTTTTATGATGGTTTGTCGTTGATGGACAGGAACATTATCGATGCTGCAAGTGGTGAAGCTTTAGTAAATAAGACGTTGGCACAAGCTTGGGATCTTATTGCGAGGATGGCTGAAAACACGCAGCAATTTGGTTCAAGAGATGTTGGACATATGAGCGGAAACAACAACGACCATGCTATCCAATCGATGCAGCAACAACTTTCTAAGTTGACGAGCTTCGTCCGCAAGATAGTCGTGGAAAATTCCAACCCGAGTGTCCAGGTCAAGGCGTGTGAAATATGCACAAGTGCAGGACACCCTACAGATGCATGTCCGACCCTCCAAGAAGAATGTGCAGTGTATGTGAACACTGCAAACTACGGTATGAATAGACCTCCAGTGTACAATCTATACTCCAACACTTACAATCCAGGCTGGAGAGATCATCCGAACCTGCGTTATGGAAACGCACAGCAGGGTAATGATCATCAACCATTCGGAGCTATACAGCAGATGCAACAACCTCGTTTCTATGAGAAACAGCCGCCCCAAGCACCCATAAGCAACTCCAGTCTATCTTTGGAAGACTTGGTGAAGTCTATGGCTACCAGTACCCTGCAATTCCAGCAAGAGATGAAGTCAACTGTCGTCAAATTACAAGGTCAGATCAATCAAGTGTCGGAGGAGGTGAGACAGCTACGTGAAAGAGGAAAGTGGCCTGCTCAGCCTGAGCCAAATCCAGCAAATGTCAGCGCCATCACTATCTGCAGTGATACGATGATTGAATGTTCCTCCCGGCCTAATCCAAAGAATACGAGTGCTATAACCCTTCGTAGCTGAAAGGAATTGGAAGGTCCACCTCCTATATCAAAGGAACAAAATGAGGATCAAATTGAGATGGAGATTGAAAAAGAAGCTGAACTTCACGAAAAGGTACTTTCTGACTCTATTCTTCCTACTGAAACTAAGTCAGCTCATTTTCCTGACAGGTTGAAGAAACCACAAAAGGCAAACAAACGAAAAGAGATGATGGAAATATTCAAGAAGGTGGAACTTAATATTCCGCTCTTGGAAGCTATTAACCAAATCCCCAAGTACGCAAAGTTTTTGAAACAACTGTGCACTAACAAAAGGAAATTGCAAGGGGACGAGCATATTATAGCGGGTGAGAACGTTTCTGTTGTTATCAAAAGAAAGGTACCACCTAAAACAGGTGATCCAGGTATATTTTCTATCCCTTGTAGAATTGGAAAAACTGAGATAACTAAGGCTATGCTAGATTTAGGAGATGCTATTAATGTCATGTCACGATCAATATACAACTCTTTAAATCTAGGGCCTTTAAAAGAAACAGGAATTATTATTCAACTTGCTGATCGAACCAATGCTTACCCTGATGGTATGATAGAAGATGTATTAGTTCAAGTGAATGAATTAATTTTTCCTGTTGATTTTTATATTCTTGATATGCACGATGCACATTGTTTTAATCCACCGCCTTTTTTGTTAGGAAGACCTTTTATGTGCACTGCAGGAACAAAGATAGATGTTAAAAATGGCACACTCGGCTTGGAGTTTGATGGAGAAGAATTTCATTTCAATATTTTTAATCCCGTCAAATGTCCTGTTGAATCTGAATCGTTATATGCAATTAATGTTATTAATTTTGTGGTGCAGGAAACTTGTGAAGTTGGTAATGAGAATAAACAAAGAACTGTGTTGACAAAACAGTTAGAGAAAAGACCAACTGGAGAAAGTAAGAAAAGAAAAAAGATTGTCGAAAAGTGGAGATGGATTCCCAAGGCATCACCATTGCTGGCAGCGAAAAAATGTCATAAGGAGAATCAAAATTCTAAGCCGAAGAAAAAGTGTGTGGCCAATAGACATCGCTTCAAATTATACCACGAGGGACCCTCACTTGATCCTATAAAGTCGGCACCCTTTGCCGATTTTGATGTTCAGAATTGATGCGATGCGAAGTCTAGCTCAAAGACTATAAAGAAAAAGCGCTTTTTAGGAGACAACCCAAATCATTTAATTGCTTTCTTTAATTTTATTTATTTTATTGTTTAATTGCTAATAACACTTTTGATAGTTTTGTTTGGTTTAGTCGCCGCCTCCAACCTCCGGCGTATCGACTTCTTCCTCCCCTGCTCAGTCATCGCTGATCACCACATCCACTCCTCTAAATGGCTTGCGTTGGTTAGTTTTTTTCGCAGGACTCAGGAGAACTTCAAGCCTCCCTAAAAATCACGATCAAATGAAGAGGTGTTAACAAAGCTCCCAACTACTACACCCCCTATGGACTCCAGGGAAGTTTCTCTCTTCTTTTATTGCTTTCTTTACATTGAGGATAATGCATACTTTAGGTGTGGGGAGAGTTATGCAGATTTTTGGGCAAAATCTTCATTTGTATGCTATTTTTATGCCTGATTTGCTGTCTTTTCGCATGTTTTTTAGATTAGTCTGAAGTGAGTCAAAGGTGATTTGTGTGATAGGTTAGTTTGGCATGACTAATGACATTTGATTGGTGATATGTTGAGTCAAGTCAACGTTTGAACCCTGTGAGAATTTGAGCCTATGTTCCAAAAGTCACATTAGAAAATAAATTGCATATATTCAAGCTTTTAGAAATTTCTTTCATGTGCGATTTGTAGTGGTCAATTAGATGACCTAGAACTTGAGTGATTATGCATGTTGAACTTGCAACTATCGAGTCTTGCGTTTTGAAAATGATAAGGGCATTAGGTAACCCATTAAGCCTTCCTTTATTACCCAGCACAATATATTCCCCTAGTTAGCCCATTTGAACCTTCTTAGACTATTTTTTCTTTTATAATAATCTGTCTTTTAGCCTCAGACCCTTCTTTTGATTAAGCCTTCTCCGATTTGAACCCTATGTTAGAAAGAATTACTTTAAGTCCATGTTGTGATGCATTTTATTTCTTCGGCACTAGTTAGAAACGAACTTTGGGTACGAATAAGTCATAGTATGAAAGAATAACTGTGGGTAGTGTAGGTATATATATATATAGGCAAAAGCCAAAAAAAAAAAATCAAAAATCAAAAATCAAAAAATAAAAAAAAAGAAATATAAAAGAACGAAAAAAAAAAAAAAAAGAAACAAAAAAATAATACATAAATAAATAATTATCTTAATAAAGTATTTTCATTTAATTTCATTATTAAATTTTGAGTAGGGAATAGAGTAAGGATTTCATTGTTTATGTCGATTGTTCTTCACGTGCTAACATCATGTTCTTATTGTGTTCTTTTCTGACATATTTTAGCCCATGTATATCTTTTTTCCTACCCTGACCATAAGCCCCGTTACAACCCTTATTGAAAGTCCCTTTGATTCTTTATGCTAGATTCGAATATTTTAAGCAAGGGAGATTTGATTTTTACTCAAGCCTATAGAATAATCTTTTGTTGCACTACCTGAGTGTTGAGCCAATTATACACTTAATTCCTTCAGAGAGCATGTGCGAATACACTTTATCTTGTGAGGTTGACTTAGCTTGATGTGTTAAAATTCGGATTGAATTGATTGTGTTGGATCCTCTTGTCATATCGAGTTGCCTGCAATTTCTTTGACTTATTTCGAATTTATGCTTGAGGGCAAGCATGATCTAGGTGTGGGGAGAATTGATAGTTAGAAATCGCATGCGTTTTATATTCGTATCATATGCGATATTTGAGTGATTTTGATTGGATTCTACCTAATTTATATGCGAATTGTTTATTTGTTGTGTGCAGAGGGCAAATATTAAATTTGGCATAATTGGCAGAAAAAAGGAAATAAAATTAATTAAAGGCCCAAAGGCCCATCTACAAAATAATTAGGGCAAAAATCAAATAAGAAGAAAAACACACGCCTATTGCCAAAGGGAGAACGGCTAGGGCAGAAACGCACAAGCGCAGGAGATTGACATATTCATAGATCGCGCAGGATCAAATCGACAGAGAAGATTTCCCCATCCCACTATGAATTTATCTTTCTCTTTTGTTCTTTGTTATTTGAATATGGAGTAGATACTTTTCTGGTTTGAGGGGTGATAATGTTTTGGTTCTTTTGTTTTAGAGATTCTTGATTTTCTTTATAAAAGTTCTTTTTTATTATCAATATTTGTCTAATTCTGATAATAGCGTTTGTGATTGTTAGATTGATTGAATATTTTGGTACCAATATTTAAATTAGTCTGATAATCTAAAGTCAATTCAGGTAGGATATACGTAATTGTATTCGCACTTGAATAGGTGATAACCGGGTTGAATAGTTCATTCTCGGGGGTTAGACAATCAAATCTAATTGCTCCTCCTAGGTAGTAATTGTTTTGAATTGGGTTTTTCTAGATTAAAATACGGTTAGACAATATTCTTATGGGCGCACCTAGGTTTATTTGCTTAATTAGGGGTAGTTAACGGTCGTACCTTAATTACCTACACTGTAAGGAAAAATTGGTTGTCAGAACCTGTTGATACCTATAACCAATTTATTGATACTTTAATAAGAATTAATTTTATTGAATTAATGATAAAACATAAGTGCCATAACTGCATCATCCCTTGAGCCAGACATCCCCTTGATAGTCAGTTCCCCTTTATTTAATTGTTTTATTATTTTATTTTCATTAGATAATAAAAGAAAATTCCCCCTTTATTTATTGCACTAGAACACGAAAGAGTGAATCACATAATCCCTGTGGAGACGATCCCTTCCCCTATATTACATTAAATTGTGATCACGGATTAGGTGAAATATTTGATTGACCGCGCGACAAGTCAGTTCAATACATATATTTATATAATCCTAAATTCCAAAATTAGGAAGAAGCGTTTTTACGCTTTTACAAGTTAACGCTTTTATTAATATTTGCCTTCTTCTCCTTCTTCATTTCTTCGTGACAATACCCCCCCCTTCAAACATGACTTGTCCTCAAGTCGCAACACCAGGGAAGCGTGTGTTGAAATCCTCAAAGAAGTCCCATGTGGCCTCTTCCTCGGGAAGGTGAGCCCATTGAACCAAGAGTTGGGTTGCCGGTGAAGATCCTCGCTTGACAAGGCGACGGGCCAAAATTTTTACTAGTTGCAACATAATCTTCCCATCATCATCAAAAGAAGGCAAGGAGGCAGTGACAGTAGATAGTGGACCAACATGTTTCTTCAGAAGATAAACATGGAAAACTGGGTGGATGCGAGAAGACGCGGGCAACTCCAAGCGATAGGCAACAACACCAACACGAGCTAAAATCTTGAACTGACCAGCATACTTGGGGCTTAACTTCCAGACATCCTTGGAGTGAAGTGAAAGTTGGTGATAACGTTTAAGCTTGAGGTAAACCCAATCTCCTTCTTTAAATTCGCGCTCACGACGATGAGAATCTGCATAATACTTCATACGAGATTGAGTTGCCAATAGGGTCTGTTTAAGTAGATGTTGGGCTTGCTGTCGATTGGAGACCAAATCTTGAACCCCTTCCACATTGGTGTAAGGTATAGGGCCAGAAAACCATGGTGTAGGATGGAAACCATATAATGCATGAAATGGAGTCGTACCTAGGGAGGTGTGATAGGAAGTATTGTACCATAACTCTGCCATAGGTAGCCAGTTGAACCATTGCTTAGGATTAGCACTGCACATACACCTGAGATAAGATTCCAAGCATTGATTTACTCTATCAGTTTGTCCATCGGTTTGTGGATGGTAGGCTTTGCTTAATCCCTGCTCAATCCCCAACACCTTAAACAACTGTTGCCAAAATTGACTAGTGAATACCTTGTCTCTGTCAGAAATGACACTATAAGGTAAGCTATGTAATTTGTAGATTGACTGTAGG